GCATGTTTTGTATAGATCATGCCCCTGCCGTCTCACTGCTCAATTCTCTGCAAATCACTTTGATAAAGCAGGCCTAGCCACACCTCCCCTCAGTGTGACTCACGCAGCCTCCATGAAAAAAAGGTTTATTTTTTTCAACCAATCTTACAGCACAGTGTGTATACGGTTAATTGAACTTTAATCACATACAGGTAAATGCTGCAGGCTCTGTCATGCAATTTATAAAGTAGAAGATACGAACTAATATTTAACACCCCGTGCAATAAGGAAAGATTAAAATGTAGACTTATTTTCCTTGAATTATGTAGCAGCTCACTAGTTCATATTGTCCTGTAATGGCCTATTGGACACTCCACCTCGTTTTCTTTTGAGCAGAACTGTATAGCTATTTTGTCGCTAATACCAGTAAAAGATGTTTTGCTCAGTTTTTTTGCACTGTAGTGTTTGGAGTGGTTTATGTTGCTGCAAAATAACTAAGATTTGTAGCATCAAAAATTGGAATTGTAACTGGAATGTCTCCTTTTACAGCATTATAAATTCACTGGCTCAACTTATCTCATCAAGGTTTACCATTTGTAAAACTAAATACTCAAGAGTATGTTACATGGTGTAGTTTGAAACATATCATGATACCCATTTTTTTAAACTAAGTTCATGCCAAAATTTATCAAAAATTCTGTTAGTTTTCACACGCGCATTCTATTTTGTTCCAGATTTCATAAACCAGATGTGCAAAATTGTAGTAAAATAGCCCAAACTATGTTGACCTTTTTCTCCAAGTACATCAATATCCTATTTGTAGCTTTCCCAGGTTTTTGTAATGTAAAGGGCCAAATAATATCAACCTGGTCATTTCATTATGTTTGTGTTTTTATTTTATTTTTTATTTTATTTAGAACTAGAATTTTGTTGCTTGGTCTGTCTCATTTTGTGGCATTTCAGCTGGTCACCAATGTTAATTTCACATTATTTATTTGAAGTCTAATAGTGCGAAAAAACATTTTTTTACCACTTTCTTCCAAATGGTATTATTTTATTTTTAATTTTTTTTTGCATTTTTTTCAACCACATATCACACTTTTTTTCTGTAAATATTGGATAAAACATATCAGTTATTGTAGCATAGTTATATAATATGGCCTAACAGAGAAAAACAAAGCTGTTTGTAAACAGTTTAGTTTGGCGAGTTACCAATGTCTGTTTAATTAAATGTAATTACTCATTAAAACTTGTTTACAAATGGCTTTCATTCTTCCATCAGTCAGTACTGGCATTTCTAATTCTAATTCCGAAACTGACTATGCTAGTATTTTTCCGAGTTTTTGCAAAATCCCCAGTGGTATCAAGCAACATCTGCAAGAGTCATGAATAACTTTTTTGGCTGTACTCAGCAGCAAGGAAACCTGCAGCTGATCATTTCTGCCTCATTTGTAGGTGTCACTGCAGTGGGGATTAGAAGATTACAGGCAACGTGACACCCCAGCCAAGCCAAAGAAAACTTTTGAGATAAAATACATCTAATTTTTCAACCAATGTTTAACCAAAACAAAGACCAATTAGGACAAGCTTCAAGTATGGTCAGTGTTCTGAATAGCAGAAGTGTATACTGACTTTTCCATTCCACCGCATGTTAAAAATATTGTTACTTCATGCAGTGCGCAGAATTGGCAAACCTCATCACAGCTGTAACGTTTTAGGCTAAACACACCATTCTCTGTTGGTCTTCAAATTTGATAAAAGTTGAAACTTGGACACATATTCATTGTGTGAATAAGAAATGGATCCAATAATGGGACTATTGCAGAACCAGGTTATTACAGAGATTGTTTTCTGGTTACTCCAGTAATTGTGTGTTCCTTATCTTTACTAGTCAATTATACAATTTGATAGTTCTAGTGTATTGTGAAATCTAGATTTTTTTGGGGGGGAGGAGATTCACCGAAGGGTTATAGTAATATGGACTTGTTTTGTATTACTTAAATGCTACATCTTAGGAACACAGGCATGTGCTTTTTAAATATTCAGAGTGAAGTAAAATTTAGTTTTATGTGCTATCTTGACTATATTTTTGTTGATCAGAATTTGGACTACCACTGAAAATGTTACTTTCTATTTCATAATACTTGTTTCTGGTTCTACTATTAATAGTCTACTTTTTCTTTTGGAATTTAAGGCCATTTTTACCTCGCCCTTGTGAAAAAATAGGTGGTCTCTGTTTATTGCTGCTTAAGCAGTTGCAGAATATTTTGCCAACGTTACTGAAAAAAGGCGTGGATGTTACTGAGCCATATATAGTACACATGCAGAATATTGAGCTTAGTCTAACCAGGCAAGAACTGAAAAAATATATATATATTTAAATCGTATGACAAACAAGAGATTGGGGGGTTAACAATAACTCCCAAATTGTGAAAAAAAATGCACCTCAAAATCTAAAATTAAATATTGTAAGTAATTAAAATAATTCTACAACCAAATACTGCCTTCAACAAGAAATATCCTCAGTATTCCTATAAAAGAGAGTATATACAGAATATAAGAAAGCGCAAGATGCTAGAGTAAATAATTCTGTATATACTCTCATTTAAATCATATGCCTTACAATGCCATTCTTGTAACATGCAAGAAAAAAACAATTAAAACTGTATCACAAATAAGATAAGGTACCATAGATTTTCAACAACAAATTAGTATGATTTTATTGACAAGTAACGTTGTCAGGGATTCTAGATATAGACTTACCTATGGTGTTTTTTTTCCATTTTATTCTGAACCAGTATTTGGTTACACCAGCTAAAGATTCAAATTTCAGCATTAGAAAAACAATATCCTGGTGGTGGCATATGGTAATTCAAGCCAATTTAGCATCCTTGAATTAAGATTTTTGAATTTTACAAAATGTCATTATCGAGAAGACGTGGAAGCAATTGCATATACAGTGTATTAACTGTATTACTCACAAATGTATAGATTAAGTTAATTGTGTGCTTCCTCTATTTTCTAACAGTAGGTTCTCTTGCATCAATCCCCCTCCCTGAATGCTGGGGGCTATATCTTATAGAGCAAAGAATGCAACCACAGCCTAGACATTGAGCTCACCTATTGGGTTCACACCCACTGTAATGGCTCACGATTTCCACTCACTTGCCATTAGTGAGTTGCAGTTACAGGCTGGCAAATAGAAATTCTTACCTGTTAAGTGGGCAGACTTGGAGCAGTAAGTAACTTATTAGTTTGTCCAGTAGTATAGGACTTGAATTTGTGAGCCATTCTTATAGTGTGCATCTCTGTGCCAATAACATGGAGGTATAGTATGATATAGAAACATAGCATAGAAATAAAATGAAAGTTATTTATGAAACTTATAGCAAGTTTTCTTACACAATGTAGAGAATAGCATCAGTTATAAAATAACGCATATGGTATTTCATTTGATTCATGTCTTGTTTTACATCAGGTTGTCCCACGTTCTCCAATTTGACGAAAATGAAAAAGGTAGAAAAGTGAAAGATGCAAACATGCAGGACGAAGACACATTTGAAATATACGACCCGCGCAATCCGGTCAATAAGAGGAGAAGAGAGGAAAGCAAAAAACTAATGAAACAGAAAAAAGAAAGAAGATAAATTACATATTACACGCATTAATTCAATGTAACTGACCTAACATGGCTGAATTTTTTTTATTGCTGATATTTCTCGATTTGTCATGACGTTCTGTTTTCAGTTTAGTCACAGCTGTGAACATTTTGATTAAAGTGATATTTAATTATAATTTTGCATACATCTAAACTAGTCTAATTTCTTTTTAGTTCATATCAAAAATCTTTTTAACTAAGTGAACATGAATTTGCACCAATAACCTGATAGAAGGCAGACTATATGGAGTATAGTGCAGTATGTAACAATTTCTAATTTCAGACATGTGGTGGTTGTTGGAGGTTACTTGAAAAGAACATCTCCCAAGCGCGTTTTATTTTTTCAAGGGAATTCTGAATTTTTTACTGCATTTGAAGGAAAGGAAATTGGAGCAACAACACTGGGAAGTAGATTTCTATATTTTAGACCTAAAAGCCAAAGCCAGTGCTTATCAATAAAAAAAATAAAAATAAAAAAAAAAAGATTAGGGAATTCATTTTGGGTAATAAACTGGCATACAGAACACAGTACTATATAGATCTATATGTTGAGTATTCTGTCTTTGGTACTGAAAAACTCTTATTCTCTTTGTTCTATGTGACACACTCTTATATTCTAATAAGCAGAATATTGTGAATATTCATTAGATAAAATCAATGTTGATTAGGTAAAACCAGAGCATTAAACTAAAAAAGTTGTATATCACATAAGCAAAAATATGTATTTACTCTCACTTAGTACCCCAATAAACCCTTCCATTAACACATATCCTGGGGATTTTGAAAGGCAAGAGCGAACTATTGCTTAGTTATAAGTGCTCTAAAAAATTGAAAGATATGTTGGTTAGAAGTGATCCAAGACATTGTGTCACTTTATAGTATTCAAAATAAAGGTTCTTTTAACCACTTCCCGACCAGTGACGTACCAGGTACCTCCACCAAAAAACGGTTGTTAATGACCGCGGACATACCTGGTACGTCATTTAGTAAATTGCCACTTACCTGATCACTAGTGATCCCCCGCCAGCAATTGCGATCCTGGGGTCTGCCAGGGAGCTCCGGCAGACCCCCACTGCCCAGGCCATGTGATCCCGGGGTCCTCGCAATCACATAGCCGGTTTGTGCAGTGCCTGCAGGGGGGCTGCCTGAACTCTCAGGCAGTCCCCCTAGTAGCTGAAAAAAAGTTTTGAAAGTTAGAAAAAGTTAAGTTTATAAAGTATATATGTGTGTATGTGTGTATGTATATGTGTATATATATATATATATATATATATATATATATATATATATATATAAAATCTAAGTACTTTTAGATGCACATAAACACACATACACCATTATTAAAAGTGTATTTTAATATTAATTTTATATATATCTAAATACACTTAGAATGACGTTAATTATATATACAGTGGGACCTCGGTTTAAGAATTTAATGCGTTCTCCGGTACGTTTCGTATTGCAAACAATTCGTAAACCGAAACACAGTTTCCTATAGGAATGCATTGAAAACCAATTAATGCGTTCCGAAGGTGAGAAAAAAAGTTTTAAAAAAAGTATTTTATCTGTTCAAAACTCTTTTTAAAGTGCACTTTAAAGGCATAAATACTGTACAGGGACATGATTAATCAAGCAATAACATTTCAAACATCCAACTTTATGTTTTAAAACATCACACATCAACTTTTAAAACATGGCAGACTGTTGGTAACATGGTACAGTACACTTCAACTGTACATAAATCACAGGTCAACAGGGAAAACATGGAAAATGTCAACACTTTTTGGAAGATGAGGACGAGGGCGATTGGGCAGCACTAGCACAAGAAGGTTCTTCTTCACGTTTTGTAGGAACCTTTCCATTGTCTGCTGCCTCTGGCGCCTTCTAAGCATCCCTCGGAAAGGGGACATGATGTCTATGTCAAAACTGCTCACAAGTCTCTGGGCTAGAGCCTTATCTGGGTGGTCCTGCTGTACAAAAGTCTGTAGGTTTACCCACATTTGGCATGCCTCCTTGAGTTCCATGGAAGAGAGCTGTTCCTCACTCATTTCCTCCTCCTCCTCAAATGCGATCTGCTCCTCCATTGCCTCCTTCTGCAATTCCACCAGTTCCTCGGTGGTTAGGTCACGGTCGTGTTCCTCCACCAGCTCACAGACATCCTCCTCAGTCACCTCCAGACCCATAGTCCTCCCTAAGGAAACAATTTCCTCCAACACTGTTGACTCAGGTGCAGAAGCACTGGAGGCAGGTTTCACAATACAGTCTGGCCACAGGTTGCGCCAAGCAGAATTCAGGTTTGTCTGGCTGACCCCGGCCCAGGCAATGGTGATAATATGCAGACAGCTCACAATGTCAAAATGCTCTCCCCAAAATTCATGGAGGATGAGGCTTGAGCGATCTGTCATCTCAAAGCATCGCCGGAAAATCTCCCTTGTGTAGAGTTTTTTAAAATTGGAGATGACCTGCTGGTCCATTGGCTGGAGTAGTGGAGTAGTTTTTTTTTTTTTTTTTACGGATTCTCATTCGTAAACCAAATTTTTCGTTTACCGAGGCATTCTTTAACCGAGGTTCCACTGGATATATAATAAAAATAATTGAAAAAAGCTGTTTAATTTTGTTCTAACTGTATTTTGATATTAATTTACATATATATTTAAATCAAAATACATTTAGAATGACGTTATAAATAGATATATCCCCTTAACGACCGTGAACATACTAGGTACGTCCGACAAAGATCAGTCGTTAAGGACAGCATTCGTACCTAGTATGTCCACAGAGACTCCAGCAGTCCCCCTACAGCAGCTTCGGCCTTCCAGGGTCATGTAATCTCCATGATCATATGGCCGCAATAGTAGTCTATGAAGCTGCCAGCAGGAAGATTGTCTGAGCTATCAGGCTGCTAAAAAGTAAAAAAAAAAAGAAATATATATATATATATATATATATATATATATATATATATATATATATATATATTTGTTTACGGCAAATTAGAGGATGTATGAAATAATAATAAAAGAAGCAAAATGTAGTAAGAACAAAGTCAGTTGAGGTGTGCCGAAACTGACGTGAGGTTAGACCTGTAAAAGAGGGCCCAGCTAGTTGATATGAGAATAAAAAGAGGATACGGTGGGAGTGGCATTTCTGAGATCGTTGACGTCAGGTAAGCAGGGGCTTACTGGGTTTAAATAGAGATTCAAGTGCCTCCCACAATTACAGGCCAAGCCTTCTATTTGTGTACGGCAAATTAGAGGACGTATGAAATAATAATAAAAGAAGCAAAATGTAGTAAGAGCAAAGTCAGTTGAGGTGTGCCGAAACTGACGTGAGGTTAGACCTGTAAAAGAGGGCAAAAATATAATAAACAATACTTTGTCAGATACCTTTATTAAGCAATTCATTATTTAGACAGTTCACGAAAAGCCAATCTTATTTCTTTCTCTGGATTGGGGATGTATCTGTTGTATGCGGATGATTTCCACCGACCCATATTTTTAATTGTATGTACGTGATTTCCGGAGGCAGCTGTGACTGCTCCATTGCGGAATGAATGGCCCGAGAAGGACTATGGGTTATGTCCTTGCCAGAGTAATATCGTACGGATGTAAAGCATGAATTGTTTGGTGGTAATGGGTTTACCTTGAGTAGCTAATAGTGGGGAATCGGGGTTGGAAGTGAGATGAGACTCCATTAGTTTATCCAAAACGTGGATTGGACACCATTTGGTAGAGGTAGGATAATATTTAATCTCTACTGGTGGACCAGTTTGACTCGTTTTGGTATGAGTCATTAACAAAATGTAGTGGTCCTGTTTTTTAGTTAGGTGTTTCTTCTGAAGGCATGACTTAAAGTTGGACGCCTTCTCTACAGAAAATTCTCTGGGTCTCAAGAAACCATAGAAGGCTATGTAAGCCACTGACTTGATTATTAGGTTCGTGACTTGTTCAAAAGGGGACTTGTCAAGTACATCAGAGATACTCCTGAATAGTATACTGTCTATGGGAAGTCTCTTAATGGGATTATGTACTGATAGTCTCTGAATACCTTTTAAGGACACTTTTAACTGGGTAGGATGCTAGAAATTTGTTGAGATAACTGGTCAACATGTAGTGTTGTATGCCCGTTAAGTAAAGTTTGATAGTGTTGTAAGCTAATTTAAGAGAAAAGTGGCAAAAAGTTGTAAATGCGACCATAGTTTCTATGGAAAAACATTTATTATACAATAATCAGGAATAAATCTTTTAAACAAATCATATGCTCTGGAATATGCTTTTTTTGTATTAAGGGATAAACCAGCCTATGCAAGCGACCTACTATGGTGTAACAGAGTATTTAACACATAATTAGGTCTGTGAAGCTTGGAGGTTCTCTGGGTTGCGAATTGGCTGACGGATGAATTCTGAAAAATTCCTGCAAATTAGAGCATGAGAGTGCATCAGCTGCGTTATTTTGAATACCTGGAACGTGAATACAAGTTATACAGAATTGAAGATTTGCCACTAGCCATGTAAGTCTCCTTACCAAGTTCATAATCGTAAGGGACTGAGAGCGGCCTTTGTTGATCATATTACATGCCGCCAAGTTAACAGAAAAGCATCTGACCGATTGCCCTCTCCACTCTTTACCGCAGTGTGCAGCTGCTACAATTGGATAGATTTCGAATAGTGCTGAGGTGGTATTGAAATTATGTACTGAGGTAGTCTCAATAGGCCAATAGTTGTCTACCTATTCGTTACCAAAAATCACTGCATAACCTATGGCACCTGATGCGTCGGTCCAAATTACAGGGGAATCGTCAGAAATGGGGGGAACAAATAGTGACCTGCCATTCCAAGAGGAAAGGAATAGATGCCACATTTTTAGATCAGCTCTAGCTGGTTCGTCTATGAGAGCTGTGGAGTCGTCATCAGGGAGACCGTGCAAGAGAGAAAGGATTCTAGAAATGAAAGACCTGCCCTGTTGAATTATTCTCATCGCAAAATTGAGTGAACCGAGTAGTAACTGTAGCTGTTTCCTGGTGCAAGTGCCTTGTGACGTGATGTTGATGTAAGAAAGAATTCTGTCAACCTTCTCTTGGGGGAGGCTGGCCTGCATAGAAACAGAATTGACTGTGATCCCCAGGAACGTAATCTCTGTGTTGGGACCCTCTGTTTTGTCCGGGGCTATCAGGACTCCCAAATCTTTGAACAGAGTGAGCATGTGATTAAGACTGTGTGGTGTGGTTTCGATGGTGAGGAAGTCGTCTAAGTATTGTATGACTTCTGGACATCTGCATGTATTTAGTAGGAGCCAGGTTAAAGTTTCGGCAAAGATATCGAATATCTTGGGGCTACTTTTGGAGCCGAAAGTTAGTCTGGTAGTGAAATAGTAGTAGTTTTCTCACTTAACTCTATGCAGATGCCAGAGTGACTGATGAATGGGTAGTAATTTAAATGCGTTAGTAATGTCTTACTTAACCAGGCAGCCTTCCCGGAATGAATGATGGCTTATATGGCATCGTCAATTCTCGCGTATTGAAGGGAAAAATCTTCAGGCTAAGTGTAGTGGATGAGTGAGGTGCATTCACGGATTGTTAAATTTCCCTGTGGCGATTCCTAGGGGGTTTGTCCTCCAGGAGGTGAAAGGTGGTGGTGTGAAAGGTCCCATCATGAAACAGTTGGTGATTTCTTTAAGTAAGAGTTCTTGTACGCTGCTGGGATCTGTAAGTGCAGACTGAAGGTTGGGGCATTCCAAAATACCTGTGGGGAGTGTAACAAACCCTGTGTGAAACCCATTAGTAAAACCAGATGTGAGAAATTTTACCAAATGTGAAGAAGGATGATTAGACAGGTAGCGTTGCAAATTAGGCACGTTTATTGGAGTGGAAGATTTTTTAGGGTACAGCCTGTTGGGGCATGCGCTCTGTAATAAAGTGAGCACACATGAAGAAGCCTACAAGCATTATAACTACAACTACCGGCATTGAAATTATTGCAGACTTGTGCTTTACCCAGAAAAACGATTGGCCTGCCTAATTTGTCTCTCAATTCTCTCTGGGTTGTGCTGGACTGATAATCAGCGTTGGCGTCATTGGTAGATGGGATTGCTCCATTTTCAGGAGAAAAATTGATCATATGGGCTGCTGATGAGCATATGGCGCAGGAAGGTGTTTTGAGGCCCGCAAAATGCCTTAGAAACAGTTCAGTGTCTAACTGACCCCAGTCGGTGTTCGTATTATATTGAGACAGTGATGCGGCAGATCTGGATGCAAATGACTTATGATAATCGTAAAAGGCATAGCCTCCGTATTTATATGCTAAGTCAATGACTTTGTGAAGGTATGGGTCAAGTTCTTCTCTACGTAGGGGAAAAGCCGTACAGATAACGTCTCTGTATAGCCCGAATGCCAGAACAAACTCAGGGATGTTAAATTTCCTATTTAGTCTTGAATCTCTAGACTTCATAATTACTGATAGGTCATCAAATGTAAACAACCTATTCTCGACAACGTCTTGAGATGCTAACAGTAGTGAAGCCAAATTAATGTACTTCCCCTCTATTATGTCGCGTTTGAGATTCTGATGTATGAGGTGAATAGGATTTATGATGTTGGTAGCTTTTTTTTTAGCTAATAAAGGGTTATTGTTACCTCCTGGGTTAGGCTCAGGCTGGGCAATAGGTACCGGCACCTCCGGACTCCAGATTATCTAACCTATTATTAATGGTTGCTACAGATGACACTAGGGAGGCCATCATAATGTACAGTTCTGCCAGGTTGCTTTGTACATTAAACTCTGAACTAGGGCCAGGCCTTTCGTTGTCCTCGATAGTGTTGAATAAACAAAACAGTTCAGCTTTCCTGGCTGCAGTCGGGAATGGGATTTTCCTCTTTTTGAGTTCTGTAGTGATTTTGGGGATTGTCCAGGATCTATAGCTGAAAGCTGGGCTTGCTGGGGTTGCCTTCTCTGCGAGCCTGATCTGGTCGGGGTGCTGGTAACCGACAGGTCATCTCCTTGTACGGAAGCATTAGACATGCTAAGGGTGTGAGGCAGATAGCTTGGTTAGTATGGTACTGTATAGATCTGTAGTAACCCAGTTTACTAGAATAGTGCCCTAGGGCGAAATTTTATTAACTACTACCTTGGGTGACAGATGACGCCCTAACTGCTTGCCAAGTGGCTATGAGAGGCTCTACCTATGATTTGGCTCGTGGGTCCCTTGTGCCACTGAGGTGGGTGGCGGGGTGTTGGCCTCTCAGTGACACATAAAAGATTGTAATATCGATTGGCCGTGATGAGTGAGGCCCTAACTATGACTTGATGCAAGGCTATAACTATGCATTGGGCCGATTGGGCTCGAACCTCTGAACGGAAGGACTGAATGTATGCATTGCGGGACCATTTGACTATAGGCGAAGACCCTATGGGTCCGTACCTAATTGGCGAGAGCTAATTATCACCTAACGAGCCCCAACTGGGATTATTACTTAACGTACCTGCTGGTTATCCTGTATAACGTATTCAGTATGGAAGGAATGATCCTTACTTGATCCTATAATATGTCATAATATTGAATTACAACCTAACCCCCAGGTGAAAACCATTGAAATTGCCCCGCAAAGCGTAAGAGTAGATACTAACCGTATATGTTGACTAATGATAGGAGGATTTGGCTTGTCCTGGAAGGGTGATCACTAGAACTAATGTGGGGGAAAAAGAGAACATAACCTATTTATGTTTAGTATTTGATTACCAGAAAGAAATATACAAAATTAGGGTAGGTAAATAGAGGTCTACCTCTTTAAATACTGCAGTAGTGTTTAACCAAGAAGGCCCATTTGTAAGCAGTGTCAGTAATTGTGCTATTTTTTAAACAGGAGAAAATAAAACATACTTAATTGACATTTTAATTACTGCATAGTGTAGTTAGGAGCATGCAATGCATAAGACAGAAGCTGAGCATGATATTAACCTGTTTAGCATACTTATATGTTTATAAAACCCGTTAGCTATCCTTTAAGGAGAAATATTTTGTAAATTAATGACCTTAACTGTCATTTGGATGTTTCTGTTAAGGTTGTTTGTTTTATTTTAGACCATAAAAAAAAAAAGGAAAAGGACATTTTTAATGAACGACATAGTAAATCCTATGCACTTGATACTAATAGAAAAGCTTTACCAGCGCTGTTTTAGATGGAGTTTTAACTTCTATTGTAATGTCTGAGTGAAATGCCAGCGTTGCAATAAATGACAGTTCACATGATATGCAATGACAGTAGTACGAACAGAGCTTCACATGCAGATAAACTGAAGTTTTGCATAAATATAAACAAGATTGTATCAAATGTTTCCATGCCCGGCTGTTGTATGTATACAAATGGTTAACTACACAAATTTTATGCGAACGGACATCTGATATTAAATGAATGGGACTGTGTATATGAACATTTTTGCACGAAACGGCAGATTACACGAAACGTAGCAGTATGTCAGCGTTATAGTTCGAATGAAAAGTTTAAACGAACAAGTCATTTTAAATGAACGAGTGATTGAAGACAAGTGTATGGGTGCGAGCGAATGATAGAGTATAACTTACGGTTAGCCGTTCGTATGCTGGCTTCCTTAGGTTATACTCACGAACTCAGTAGCAGAGAGAGTTTGAAAACGGACTGCTGGCGAGCGGGAAAATGACGGAAGTAAACAGAAGCACTTCCGAAATCGTTGACTTCAGGTAAGCAGGGGCTTACTGGGTTTAAATAGAGATTCAAGTGCCTCCCACAATTACAGGCCAAGCCTTCTATATATATTATATATGTATAATATATAATAAAATAGTAAAAGCATGTTATACTATATCATATATATATAAATATATATATATATGATTTCATTAAAAGTGTACTTTGAGATATATACACATATTTCAAAATTTATAATGAAATCATATATATGCATTATGTGACAAGTGACCTCGCCACTGTGTTTTGGAGAGGCCTGTTTGCCCGCCTCCTATTATGGCCCCTGGGAGAGTTTGCCTTTTATAAACATTGTTTGGGCTTATTGGATTTTGGGACACTTTTTCTGCCCATTTGAATCCATGGGAAGGTGTGCCCCCCCCCATTGTTCTCCAGCAGGGCTTTGTCCCAAGAACCCTGCCAGACCAGTTGGAACTGGCTGATTTGTCCCCCCTTGGTTAAAAAGGACTTCCAACTAACTTTTTAACTTTTTAACCACTGGAGGGAATTGTCTGATTTTTGAGTATGTTTGTATTTGGAGTATGCTGATTCTGAAAATGTGAATATGATGTATACTTTTAAAGTTATGAATATTGTGTAAAACTGTGTATTTTACTGCCTGTGATAATTATGTTAGCCCGTTGCGGTCAGTAATTATATTACAGGCAGAGGGGAAGATTTTGCTGTAATGAGTGGGAGTATTTAACTGTATTGTATGTGTTTGATTGGCTGTTCCACAAGACCATGTGGGTGGTACTTTTTTGTGTAAAAACTTGCATAAAAGAAAGCCCTTTGCTGCCATTAAACAGACCTGCTTGACCCTTTTTTGAAGCCTTGGCTCATGCTTGGGGGATGGGATAACTTCACTCTGGGGATTGCTATAATCACACTATACTCCCCAGGGTAAGCTCTTGTAAGAGCTGTTCTGGTTCCTGCTATGCTCTCTGGAGGAAGAGAGGTCTGTCCACTGGAAGCTGGATCCTGGCCTTGGGTCCAGGGTGGGTGACGGACGGTGAGACCCCGGTGCAGCTGCATCGCTGGAAGTGGGGTCTGCAGTACTTATGGTGTCTGGTGGAGTGCTTGGAGTCCTCGGTAAGCACTAGGAGCATTGATTGGTGGAGGTACTCGGTCAGAGTGTCAGCGTTCCGTCACACAATATATATGTATAAAATATTTAAACATGTTTTAATTATAATATATTCTACATATATAGGAAATAAAAGGGTGTGTGTGTGTGTGTGTATATATATATATATATATCTCCAAAGAAATACCGGCACTCAAGGCTTTTCGATCTAAAAAAATTATTTTAATCCAAAACCACTGTCAACGTTTCAGCTCCCCATGGAGCTTTCATCAGGACACCAATCACAAATAATTAAAAAGCTTATATAGGAAACAATTAATAACAGTACTTACAGAACATAAGGGGAGACCAAGAAGATTCCGCAAGAAAATAGTGAGACATAATGTTTCCACTGTGGACATAACATCAGGGGAATCTGCGTCAGAGGGAGAAGGAAACCAAGTTGGACCATCAGTCCATTTTTTAGACGAGGGGCCAGCTCGAGACAGGGTGAAACCACCCACAACGGTCACACAGAGTATGTTCAAGCAAGGAAAAAGATCCAATACCCGACGTGGACAAAAAGGATGAGTCACCTGGTCCAAAAGGGAGACCACCGAGGCGCAATTAGTTCCTATCTTTAATTTGTCAAAACGAGAACTCACACCTGCGGAAACAAACATTTTGAGTAAAGGTCTTTCCTTTATTCCTACAACCCCCCCCCCCTCCCCAATTGTTTTCAATGGGAGGTGGAACTGTTTAAGTTTGGCCGCAATATGAGATTAAGAGACTTCTTTAAAAACTCTAAATCTCGGTCAGAAATCCCTTTCAATACAAAGATTACGCATAAATTTAGAACACAAAGTGTGTTTGACCCTCCAACAAATCAAATAGCAATTAAATCTTTTCTTTCAATGGTGAAATACGACACGGGATCAGTTTTACAAAACCATCGACCTAAACACTATAATCTTTCTAGAGATGATCTCGCCTTGATTAAAAATCTGGCTACAGACCCAACAATAGTGATTCGACCAGCCGATAGGGGTGGGGGGGTTGTAATTTTAAATTATGAGGAGTATGCAGCAGAAATTAGACAGCAACTAAATGATACTAAGACCTACAGGAAACTGGATAAGGACCCCACTAGTTCAATTGCCAAAAAGATAGAGGAAACACTGAATTATGGACTTCAAGTGGGACATATTGATTTAGAGTTATTTCAATATCTGCAGAAAACACATCCACGAACTCCAATAATTTACACACTCCCTAAAGTACATAAAAACCTGGAAAAACCTCCAGGACGTCCTATCGTCTCAGCAGTCCAATGACTATTAGAACCAATAGCTAAATATCTCGACTATTTATTTAAAAATCCAGTCACATCTCTGGCTACATGCATAAAGGATACTCCAGACCTGATACATCGTTTGAATGAGGTGGAAATTTTTAACGGTATTCTGATCACGATGGACGTCGGATGTTTGTATACCATCATCCCACATGAAGAGGGGGTACAGGCAATGAGAGATCTTCTCACCCATTCACAATATTATCATGGTCCTTCTGTTGAATTTACTCTGGAACTGCTTGATATTGCCTTACAGAATAACTATTTCCATTTTGAAGTGAATTGGTATTTACAGATAGCAGGTACATCAATGGGGGCAGCAATGGCCCCCATATATGCGAACGCTTACATGTATCAATATAAGATGCAATACATTTTACAAAGATATGACCTATATATCACCCGATATTTTAGGTTCATTGATGACATCCTCATTTTATGGAATGGTTCTAAGGAAAAGGAGCTTCAGTTTACACGTGATTTAAATGCATTGCCGACGCTGGTGAAGATGACTTCACACATTGATGAAAAGAGTGTACAGTTTCTTGACGTTGAAATTATAATTATCGATAAAAAAATTGGAATATAGACTTTTCACTAAACCGACAGATCAAAACACTATTTTGCATTTTGACAGTTTTCATCCCAGAAATTTTTGAAGACATCACTACCCTTTTCACAATTTTTGCGGGTATTGCGCAACAATTCCCTAAGCCATCAATGCAATTTTCAATTGGAGGCCATGTATAAGAAATTTTTGACTAGAGGATATCCACGTAGCATACTTGAAGAGGCTCTCAAGAGAGCAAAGATGACTCTTATTACACTGGAGGCACGAGCAGACAAAGCAGCGAATACTAGACTTCTTTTTCCGAAGCAGTTTAATACTGCAAGCACAGAGATCACCTCATCTATTCGAAAAAATTGGAACATTTTAGCATTGGATCCTACTCTTCCAGAGAACTTTCGCCAGAAACCCCTGTTCTGTTATCGACGAAATAGAGAGACATGCTGGTGAAAACAGATCCACAACATTGCTATGGAACTGCCACTTGTGATAGTAGGAATGTGGGGTGTGTAAGGTGTCTGGGATGTGTCACGTGTGGACACATAATCCCTTCCAAAACCTTTAGCCACCCATACACGGGCAAGGTCTACAGAATTCAACATCGAATTCATTGTAGGAGTGATTTTGTTATTTATAAATTGACCTGCCCTTGTGGTCTTAACAATATTGGCAAGATGGAGACAGCAATCTGTGAGAGAAATAGGGTCCACAGGTCTAGTATCCGCCTGGCCTACCATGATGGCCAGTCGGATAAGCCTGTGGCCTGACATTTCTTGGAATTACAACATCAACTTTCATCCTTAAGATGTGTTGCAATCGATCATGTCCCGATACCGGTCTGTGGGGGTGACCGAGGTAGACTTCTTCTACAGAGGGAAACCTACTGGATCGTACAGCTTGACACTCTTTCACCTAGGGGTCTGAACGAGAAATGTTCTTTTTCAGCCTTTATATGATAGGTGTTATATAATTATAGTAGTAGGCTGTTTGTCCTCAGATATATATATGTAATACTGTTTTTTATTTTTATTCTTATTATATTGTTTTAAATTTTGAGTACACATGGTTTAACAAGACATTGTGACAGATGAAAGGGACTACACTTAAAGACAGAATGTCTAGACACATTTATGGATAATTTTTTTACTATATTAAGCTAGCACTGATTTAGGCACTTATGCACTTAAGTCTTACTTTCAATTATTTGCACAAAAATCTTTTTGTATTTTTATCACATTCAGTATAGCATTAGGCACTTTTTGCACTTTAACCTTATGAATAATGAATTTCACATGTTAGGTTCCATACTATTCATTTGATTTATTCATAGTTAGTATGGCATATAGGTGAACACTATCACTTTATAATATATGTGTTTATCATGCA